GACAGCCCAATTTGTCAAATAAGCTGGTGTGGCAGATGACTCACAACTTACATAAATTGGGAATGTTCGTGAATCGCAACTGTAGAGAGAGAGAAAAGATGCGGAGCTTTGTAAATTAAATGTAAATGTAAATGTAAAATAAATAGAAAATGGGCGAGAAGCTCTTTCGCGGTCTCCGCACGGAACTGCTGAGGACCATTACAGTATGAAAGCTTGCATGCATACCATTAGAGGACCAATTTCTCGATGGGCTTGCAAGCAGAATGAAAAAGGTTCTCATGTCAATTAGTGAGCTGGGCAGTCCCATCTCACTGAAAACATAATTGCGATATTGTAGAACAGGCGTGGGATAAATAAGCAAAAAGGCAAGTAGGTGCAAATATATGGCAAAGCTAGGTAGATTGCAAAGGCCATGCATGAATGGGTACCATCCAAAAGTTCTATCACGTCAGGAAGGCTTCGAAGAAGACGGTTCGTCCAAAAGTTAAAGGCACAGTTCACGACAAATTTGAGGTACCCGTTTTTATTCGAAGAGGAAGTATAGATTGAGAATAGTTCATCGACAGTGAAGAAAGCGAGAGAAATCGCCGATTCCGAGAAAAATATGGCTCTTCTAAAGTTGGGAAAATCGAGGTTGAACGAGATTGTCATGACGGAGATAACATTAAAGTGGTATTTGGACGAGGTTTCAGTTATTGCAATTGCGCAAAGAGCTGACATCAAGCCAGAACTGTACAGAACCGTCCTTCACTGTCGCTATGGGTCATGAGAAGTTGTTTGAACTTCCTTCATGGTTCTCCCGTGATCGGTGCAGCCTCTATAATGCTGGTTAAACTCGTCAGAGGATACATACGGGCCAATCTTTTAGCCTTTATAACTCCCTAACTAGGCCGTTTACCGACCCAGTAATGCCAGATATAGTACACGCGGGGGCCTCGAATTCATCATGCGGGGCAATTGAGAAACGATTTTTACCGTGAACTGCGCCTCCAAAGGGCAAGGATAAGGGGTGAACTCTTGGGACATATCAATTCGGTTTTCAATATCAAAACCAAAATTAATCCAACTCCGCACCCGGCTTCCTTTGAACGAAGATTCGGAACTGCTAGTAGCTTTTGAGGTAGCCATCGCTCTTATAAAGCTTTCATTCTCGCAAACGGGTCTGGTTCGAGATAATCAACCCCGGAAGACGGAAGATTTGGTTGGTTTGGCCTGAGTATCCGGTGACAACCCGAACCATTTGTATGTAACAGTGAACTACTTGCTACCATGGCACCGTGAATGCTTCTACCGGCATATGGGTGATCCTCCTAATAATGGTACCCGAAAAAGGGGGAATGATGGAAAAGCCTACTTGGAGATGACAGGAACCATTTCTGCCATCCACTAAAAGCCACCTCGCCATCTCACATAAGCTCTTCAACAGGACTGTTTTTCGACAGAATTACCGGCTTGCTTAAAAGCAAAAGACATTCAAAGGTTTCCTGGAAGCGAGTTCAAAGCTACCCCACAGTTTTCGTAGAGAGGCTTATGAAGTAAATTTTCGTGGAGAGGCTACCAGAAAACAAAAAATTTGTTGGATCTTTCTGCGTCGTCAACTCTGAAGCAAAAGTGTGTGGGCGAAATTGCACGGAAAGCGCTCAAAGAAGGCCCTGAATAAACCCGAAATCAGATCGAAGCACGTTATCTGTTTGCCACGTCCAACATTTCCACTTTTACCTTTAGGCCTACATAACCGAGGATGATGAAAGATTCAGACCATGAAGTCATTTTGTCCTGCTCCACGAGAGAAAAAAACTTTTCGAAATTTGCTAAACTTGGTTTGCATTTGGTCCGCACATTCTAATCTTACTACTTGGTAACCATAGCTGTAATGCACGTTTCACTCGATGTGCTCATTGTATAATGTGGTGTCATATTTGGAGCAGTGAACTTCGAGACGATTGCTCCGACGAATTCAAGCGTTAAGCTTGATAAGAGACCACCGCATCTATAAGGCCCTCGCTGTCAGCTGAGGCGACGTCGTCACGTCGTAGAATCCGCGCTCATGTAGTTCACACTCTGGTGCTCCAACAACTTTCAATTTGATGACGGCCAAGGCTGGTCGTTCGTGCTTAACTTGATATGGTGAATCCGCTAAAATCGGGAAACATCGTAGTTTTCAAGTTCACTCTTGTGCGATCGAGGCTACTCTACACTTGATGATTACGTCTAGTAGGCAAAGGTGGTGTGCTGATAAAATGATAAAGAAATAAGATCGAAAAGCAGTATGCAAGATTCTAGAAATTATGAAATACGTCCTTCACATCTGGAAGTAAAAACTGCCCAACATGATTGTAATTGCAATACATACATATACGAATGTAATTGATTGGGTTCTGGGAACGGACGAGGTCAGGATTATTCAAGGTAAAGGAGCGACTCATTAGTTTCAGCATAAAAACCTTACTGACGACTGAAGTTCCAGAAAAAAAAACTGCCTGGAGAAGAAGAAATCTTC